TTTTACAGCTGCATAGACTTCTACCGCGAACCCATACAGCGGCTTTCCGTCGTTTTGACAGCTGCATAGTATTTCAACAGACACACACACCCATAGCAGCCTCTCATCATTTTTAACTGCCGTGTAGTATTCCACCACAAGTTTATACATCCACAGTGGCCTTTCATCATTTTGACAGCTGCATAGTATTTCAGCGCGCACTTAGACCTCCACGGTGGCCTCCTGCCATTTTAAACAGCCGTGCAGGATTCTACCACCTGCCTATACACCCACAGCCGCCCTTTGTCATTTTTAACAGCTGCATAGTATTCCACCACGCACATCTACACAACTGGGAGAGTTTTAAGGACTCAGCTTGCTTCGAGAGGCAGGGAGACACCTCCACGCTCATCACTTCTGAGGACAGAAGCAGCGACGGCTGCACAGTACAAACCGCAGGTGGCCCCGCTGCTCCCTGACCGGCCTTCTCCTCCGCAGGCCGGGCGGTGTGGAAGGTCCACTACGCGACCCCCGTGTTCCAGCCCCCGGGCGCCCAGGCGTGCTACGAGACCTATTTCTGCCACTGCTCGAAGGACGTGGTCACCTACCACGACCCCCCTCTGCTGTTCGACCTGTCCAGAGACCCGTCCGAGTCCACCCCGCTGAGGCGCGACACGGAGCCCCTGTACGACTCGGTCGTGCGCACGGTGGCGGACGCCGTGAGGCGGCACCGGGACTCCGTCACCCCCGTGCGGCAGCAGCTGTCGGAGCTGAACGAGGACTCCGTGTGGCTGAGACCGTGCTGCGGGGTGTTCCCTTTCTGTCTGTGTGACACGGAGGAGGGGTTCCCCGCCGCCGCCGGGGCGTAGCGGTCCAGAGCCGGCCGCCTGGGGGGGTCCTGCCCCCCAGCCTTGGTTCCTGGGGCCCTCCCGCCCTGCGCCCCTCTCTGGGACCCCCCATTACCTAGCTAAATGTCGTTGCTGACCCGTCTCCTGCTGGTGTAACCGTGACCCCAGGCCCCCAGGGGAAGAGCCATGTGTGTGCAGCGCCCAGAGCCGCCTAATGCCGCTCCCGCCCCCGAGCGTGTCGGGGCTGACGCCGCACGGGTTGGAATTCCTGGGGTGAGACCCTCAGGTCCGCGCGAGGGACACGCTGACCGGGCCAGACCGCCCCGAGCGCCCAGTGACCCCCCACGGGCTCTGACGCCCCGGATGCTTTCTGGGGCCGTCACTGACTGCACGCCCCTCTCCCCGTGTGCCCTGGGTGGCCAGCTCCTGGCCTGGGTG